AGGGGAATATTTCTTATCACTAAAGCATCAGTTGGAAGTAGTTGCAGCTAGTGGTGTGCGATATAACGATCTTAGATCGTGAAGGATTTGAACGTGCTGACGATCTGCCAAAGCAGGGAGATCGTAGAACCAGGCATATGTCTTTATTCTATCATGCTGCAGTTTATGCTCCGACACAGACGCGTCTCCCCCCGCAGCGGAGAAAACGAAACATTAGTCCGCTAAAAGGACTCCTTCTCGGTTATATGCAACTGTTCTGATATTTTTCCAAACCGACACGATGTGAGGAACAGTGAACTTACCTGCACAGTTTTCACAGTTAAGTTTATATCTCGGATAGCGACACAAGAAACCGTTTAACGAGCTGGAGAGACGTTCACAGTCTGCAGAGAGACAGACAGAGCAGAGCTCAGACAGACAGTGATGGGAGATATAACCCCGGTGTTTAAAATTTTGCTGTCGGTGTTTTCTGCTCTCTCTCGTTTTTTAAAGTTACTATCATCCTCTCCACCCGAAGCTCACCTGTTGTGATAACTGAACCTATAGAGATTACACTAAACGACGTTACACGTTGTGTGCAGCAGGCAGGTGAGAGTGAGTAACCATGGTGACTGTCTGTCTATCAATCAACGCCGTCAAGCCCCCTCAATGAATTAAACTCTTCTTTCAGTAAAACTTACTTTAATCATGTGCCACAGAATGAACACATTCTGTATTATGTTTGATTATATATAAAGAAAACTAAAGTGAGTCCAATGATGTCATAAAAATTAACATAAACAAAGGCTGCAGAGCCTGTATGACGCTACAGCTGTAGGAACTCTGCAGGGCTAAATAGAAAACAGAAAAACAATAACTTGAAGTTTACATGTTTTTAAAAGAACGCATCTCTGCGTGAAAATGTTCCTGATGAACACAAAAAGAGAACACATAACTAAATCATAATTTCAAAGTGGTGCAGAAAACCTTAAAATTTTAAATATTGATCAAATCGAGGGAAAGATGTTTCTGGTGATAAAAATGTTCTGAGTGGGAGACCTCCAGGCGCTCTATAAAGACGTTTTTCAAATAGATTAAACTTGTCAGCACAGTTTGTGTGCATTTAAAAACATTATACAGGGAAAACGGTTTGGTAGAACTGGTCAGTAACTTACAAATTAGTCTGAAGATTAGTATGAAAAAAATCGTGATAAAATCATGATCTTGCAAAAAAAAAATTGTGATATGATATTTTTTCCATATCGCCCTTTAGTTGCAGCAGTGTAATATTTACAAAAAAAATGTAGCCTCAAACACAAAAAGCAGACTCCTGTGGTTTTGTTCACGAATGTATGACTTGTAATCTTTTATGTCAGCCTGAGCCTGCTCTGTGCACTGCAACATCTGTCCAGAGCGTGATGGATTTCCACTCACCGACTTGTTTAAAAGACCATCCATCCTGCAGCCTATATCCTCTCAGCAAGACTTTACTCACTGCTTTTATAGGCCATTTCACCTTGGGTTCCAGGTCACAGCATCAAACAGCCTATAAGTTTGAAACAGAGGAGAGCAACTGGAGTGCTCAAGAGGGAGAGGGGAGGAGTACCCACCGAGTAACAAAATGGAAGGAGTAAATGATGTGTGAAAGTATCAGCCTTAGTAATAGTAAAGGCTCGTGCAGAGCTTTCATTTTAATTTGGATTCAATCATTTATGCTACTTAAAAAAGGAAAAATGTAAAGGTAGAAGAAATAAAATCAGTTGCATAGAGTTACAATGCTTACATGCTGATTTAAGTGAATATTATGTTTAACAAGGTTTGGTTGCATTGATCAAAGAGATTATGTCATTATTTGGAGTCGAAGAACAAAAAATATGAGATTTTAATATCTAGTTAGGAAATTTGTTAAAAACTTAACAGAAATAAAAGATCACCATATCCCACTTAACCACAAATGTCAACATCAGTAAAGAAGACCTTTTTTTTTACCTCGTACAACTGGTGAGAATTTTCTGTTGAAAATGACTGAGCAAAATATCATAATCATTCATTCTGTAATTCAGATGTTTCATTCCTGACCGAAGTGGTCAAACAACAGTCCAATACTGTGATCCCTGATGCCACAACATCAGCCTCTTACTGACGGCTGTAAATGCTATTCAGGTTTGAAATTAATGCGTTAATCCAAATCAGCAATATAATCTTGTGCCATTTAGTCCTTATCGGCTTCCGCAGTTAATCTGACGCAGCTTCTTCCTGCTCCCGCAGTGATGGAAAATAACAACACCACTGTGGCTCATTTCACTTAAAAATAAAAAAAAACTTCAAGACAGCTCAGTTGACCAGTTCAAATATGCACCTTGTGTCACACGTTATTAAACTATCATCGAAGTACTTGGGTTTGAGCTTCAACCTACAAGCTGAACATACAGATACAGCTAGTCATGGGTCCCCAGGTTGGCATGTTGTGACCAGTTATATCTCGGTGTCGCTACAGTCTCGGTGTACAAAAGTTTCAACGCGTACAGGACCGGTATAAAACAGAGAAAGTAACTAAACTGGAACTTAAACTGCAAATGATGTCGCATTAACCAGGGATCATTGGATGTTGGTGAGTCATTTTTTATACGCACTCCTGCATATTTCTTTGTGTAACAGTATTAAAAGGAACACAGAATTAGCTGCTAGAAGCTGTCTCCTACCTCTATGTCAAGGTTTGAGACCACACTGGCATATGATCATAAAGTACATTTCATTACCTTGATTCACGAATCAAGACACTGGTAACAAATGATTTCTAATGTTAATATGGACTACAAGTATTTGTTATTGAATGCAAGACAATCACATTTTAAACAGCTTTTAAAAGCTATTCATTGCGATTGTGAACCTTTGAAATTCTAACGATTATTTGCCATTTTTAAAATTCATCTTTTGGCAGCCCTAGTTTGACCTGTAGTACTTTAAGTCAACATCGCTCTTACATTTCCTGTTATAATGGAACAAAAAGAAGTTAACCTATTTTTATAAAAATTAATAATACTAGAGCCTGAGTCGGGATGAGATTAGTGCAGTGTCTTGTTTTGACAGTTTGCAGGTCGGTAAGTGAAGGAGTCGTGATGTTGTCTGTGTCAGCACAATGTTTCTGAGAGATGATGATTATCTGTTTTTCTGAGACTCAGCTTCAGCACATGTGACACGGACAAACTACAGCAGAGACTAGTATGACATGACAGTGACGGACAGCGAGGCGTGAGCGCTGTCTCACAGCGTCAAAGAACCTGCTGATGTGACAGTGGGACCTGAGAGTACGGTCCAGCAAACACCTCAAGAGGTGGACAAGAATGTCATGTTAATGATAGAGTGGGTACAATGTTACAAAGAAAAATCAACATGAGACTTATTTAAGTGGAAATAGAAAGGATTTGTGTTGGGGGGGTTCGTCTGCTTTTCTAATTTTAGGAACATGAATTTGATTCTCAGAAATATTTTGACACAATCAGCAAACACAACTTCTCTTTGAAACTTTCTGAAGAACAAATTTAATAAAAAAACTCAGAAAAATATATTTGTGTCCCGATGACTCTTACTCTGAAGAAGGAATGCTGGGAATTGGGTAACAATTACTGTAGCTGATTTAGCCTTTATTCTACTTTGTTATTCCTAAAGCTTTAACAAAAATCTCATATTTCTTGATTTCATTATAAATACAATTCTTAGGATTGAGGGACTTTTAGGGGCATGTGAAAACCATGCGTTAGCCTCCACATTTTTGTAGACAGGGAGCCCATAAGAAAGGTGCTAATACTCAAAATGACTAAAATATGTTGGAGCAAGCAAGTAAATCACGATTGAATCAAATAGAGGACTGAAAAGTGTTGTAATCGCATGCAAGGATTTATAGAACAGCTGGGGTTGTGTAAAATATTACAAAAAACACCTACAAGATCGTGACTGTATGGATTTGATACTTGAGGTACATAGAGGCTTGAAAGAACCACTGAGTTACCGTGAGATGACCAAAAATAAAATTGAGCAGTTTAGCTCAATCACAAAATCTCTCCGATTATGTAAGAGTTTGAAATCCTCCTCTCAGCAGTCACGCAACATGTGTCTATTGTTGTAATGCAGTGTTTCCTGAAATGTCCAAGTGGCAGAGGGACAGGTGGATAAAAGAAGCGTGTATGGCTTTTTTCATAACGTATCACGATTTTTACTGTACGGAGGTGGCGATCCTCACAGTCAACCCCACAAATACAGCATATGTACGGTTCAGTGCTGTAGCACCAGTTCCAAATGACTCACGACACATCCGTGAAAAGGGCTTAACACAAGGTAGGAGGGGATCAGCAGCACCCAAATGTTTAAGCTGTCTTTGCTTTGAAGCAGATGTGAGCGTGTGTGTGTTCACTTTCTCTCTCTATCTCTCTCACTCTCTCTCTCTCTCTCTCTCTCTCTCTCTCTCTGTCTTTTTGTGTGCAAAGCGTGTGCTGGTGTGCTCAAGCACCTCACGAGCGCTGTGCCGAACGTCACGACTATTAATGCATCCTGATCAGCCCACTGAAAATGAAGCTAATCTGTTGCGAGGGAAATGGGGCAGGAATTAGTTCTTTCAATCCACCACTGGTTTCCTTTTAGCATCTGAGGAAACTCACCATTTATCTCCATGCATTTTGTAGCTGCATCCAATCCCACAACACATAGTGGTTGTGCGGCCTGCCGTTCTGTCAGATGACCAACATCTGTATTCATTTATTCCAAGTGATGATTGATGTCATACTTGTCACAAAGCCCTGATACACATGAATTGAAATTCCAGCCTGGAATTTGATGTATTTTATCTTAAAAGATTAACTTTGATGAAACAGGAATTTCAATTCATTTCATTCAGTTTTCAGGCAGGAATGATTCAACTGAAATTGAATGTACTGTAACTGAGCGTATCAGGGCTGTCTCCGTCAAACTCTCAGGCTCAGAACACTCTTGTATATTAAGTGTAATTGTGTTTCTTGTTGCCACAGACGATCGTTCGAGGGAACCGGCCTCCCAAAGACGCGTCTATCAACGGCCTGCTGGAGGAGTTTGACAACATCTCAGTGACGCGCTCCAACTCCCTGCGTAAAGAGAGCCCACCAGGCCCCCATCAAGCAGGAACCAGCTCCAAACCCTCCATCAGCGGTCATCCGAACGCCCCAGAGGAGAATGGATTCAACCACTACTACTCTCGCTACTCCTGTGACCTCGACAGCTCCAGCAGGGACTTCTCTCTCGATCCCAGCAGGCCCAACTTCTCCATGGATGGGGAGTGGGCTGTTGGGAGGCATTATCGGTTCACCAAGCAGAATGGTCACTCACACACCATCCGCAGCCCCTTCTACCCGGACGCCATGCCCCAAAAATCAGACTATGGCAAGCTTCCCCCAGACTACCACACCTACCTGGAGAGCAAAGGACGCTCAGCAGACGAGGTGGCCTCCACGGTGGGGAGCGGGGTGGGCTCCAGCGGCTACTACCGGGCTTCTGTGGGTGGCTCGTCCAGTCAGGACTACAGGGACACTTCGGTAGGAACGCCTTCTCGAGCCTCGCTTCACAGCGAGCAGATTAACTACCCGGACAGTGAGTGGAGCTACGGCGGCTTGGGAGAATACGACAAGCGGCCCAAGAGTTCTTATGTGACGCAGACCAGCCCCACGCCAGCTATCAGGCAGAGGTCTCGGTCAGGTTCTGGACTGCAGGAGCCAAATGTTCCCTACGCCGCCAGCGGGGCATTCAAGAACCCCCCACAGGCCCATCCGTACAGCTCCTACACCTACCCCCGCCTGTCGGAGAGTCTTGGTAACTCACAGACCTTAACCAAGGTAACTACACCAAACACAAAAACAATGTATATATACTATTTGTGGTATAAATCAATAAATCTAACTTTTTCATGTAATTATTTTAATCAGCAGGGGATATATGAGCTAAGACTTCAATGTCTGATCAGAAAATATTTTCAATTACAGAACACCACCCATGTTCAGAGAATAAAGGTTTAAGCCAACATTTAGTCCCTCTCCCCCTGCAGTCTCTTTCAAATGTTCAGCCCTTTACCTATTTCTCTTTCTCATCATGTTTCTCTTTCCTGCTCTTTCCTTTTTTTTGTCCTCCTGCCTGATAGACAGTGTCAGCAGTTAATCTACTCTTACCTAGAGAAGGCAGTAGCTGCCACATACTGAATCAGTCCTCTTCAGCAGCCACTTTCTCTGCGCACAAATCAATTAAGGCTCATGCTGACCATCGATCAGGAAGCTCTGAATTACAGAGAGTTATAGAGTCAAGACAAGAGTCCTTTCTGCAGTTTCTTAAGCGCGCTAATGAAGTTTCACCCTCATTACGCCTTTGTGTCCCAATGTGTGAATTCACATTGCATTATAGCATTGTGGGAGCATAACAGGCAGGGTGTGTTCATGTACACACACTCTTAGACATGAACACATATAGCACTGTTTAGCCTTGCCAGCTCCAACGTTACATTTCACCACCTTCTTCCCCGTTCCGTCTCTGGAAGTACCTCCAATGGCAGATCAGAGGCAGAATGACTTTGCCCCCACTATTCTCCTTCCGTGCGTTACACATTGCAGGCGAAACCTAAAAAGACTACATAGAGCTTTACAGAAATGTCTTGTCATGTCAATTGTAAACTTTAAAGAGTACTTCACAAGAGAATACCGATTTAGCTAGATTTGGTTTCAGGAGTAAAATGTTCAAAGTGTATCTTTCTGAAAAAAGGATATTAATGATAAGAATAGTGGCATTAGCTGTAGTAAGAAAAGGCTTACCTCTTCAAATATCTCTAAGACAACAAATGATTTCTTACTCATAATGTAAACCTTAGGATAACAATTCATACTGTATTTTCTTCTATACACTATATAGAACAGATTTTTTTCATACAATTTCTTGAGGAGTCCAATAATGAAATTATATATGTTTTAAGTTGATATAAATGCAACTTATGGTGTAAGTTGGACCTGTTACATCTTAATGAATTTAATTTAATTACTTTAAAGTCATGTTATATCAGACTGTGTGATATACGCAAATATACCACCAATGTGTTTTTTAAATTATATAATATTGCATTCTATCTAAACTTGCCATTTACACCCCTAGCATCCTTAAACTGCACACAACTACAATTCTTCTGATTCATTTCTACTGTACAATTTTGCTGACAAAACAACATGACTCAGGATCAGAGTGTCTTTGTTGTTATTGAAAGCTTTGCATAGAACACATTTTGAGTCCAACTGGTTCAAAAGACAAATTCTGTGTTTGAATCAATTGTTGATATAAAATTTCTACATGTGTTGACATTTATACCATCTTTCAAAGCTTCCCATTGTGTACAACACACCCTCACTGTAAGTGTGTTGGCACTTGCAGAGGTTGATGCAGCCTGTGATCTGCTCCAATGGAGCAGCTGGAAAGGCTGAGATACTCCAGAGATTCCTTCACACAGAGACTCAGACTGACAAGGTGACCCGTGCGTTATTGCTGTGTAATGTAGCCATATGTTTCCAGTATAGGTTCCCCCCTGCTGAGTCTTTTAAACCAATATTATTAAACAGAACTGCAGTGGCTACAGACGAAGATGTTTGAATAGGTTATAAAGTAGTAGGGGGCAAAATATTGTGGGGTAACACACAGAGAGGGTGGTCCTTTTAAAACATGTTCTTCATTTTATTTCTTTATATATTCTTTGTATCATTCTTTCTGTGCCCCATTAGGCTCATTATACAGGTGAGCATGCTACGATCACAGCCCTGCACCATCCCCCATCTTTGAGTCCAGTTGCTGAGAGGAAAACTGGGTTTGCTGATGTAGATCCCAGGGTGCCTTGATGAAAAACCATTTAACCTGCATGCTTCAGTAAATAGCCACTCGTAGAGAGAAATGCCATGGAGAGTGCAAGAGAAGCAGGACTGAAAATGATGCAGGAGGTCATTTTTTTCATACATTTTCTGCTAAGTTTTGCTTTATGAGGCACATTTGCCTCCTGATTGTGCAGTTTGTTCAGGGATGTCAAGATTTAAGACTCGAAAACGCTTGTCTATACATCCAAATAGCTGACAAATGCTAAAAGATATGAACTCCAATAGACTTTCTGAGGTGTATTTTTACTAGTTATTGTTCTGCAAAATCTTGAATTAAATATAGGCCATTGTGAAAAGCCAGCTCAGGAATAAAAACACCCTAATTTGTTTTGTGATGTTTGTAGATTTAGTTGCAGTGGTGAGAAAAAAAGGGAAACAAGGAGTCATCCGGCAGCTTAAGAATAACTATTCTTCTCGGCTCATGGACCTTGTAACAAACCCACCCCTCTCTCTCTCCACTCTCTTTCTCTGCCTTTTCTTCTCTCTCCCTCATTCAGCCCACTCACACCGCTGAAGTAAATCCTTCTTTCTCCCTGCTGTTGTTTGGAGCCGATGGGGATGTAACAGTAGACCGCATGGAGACTTGGCCACACACACACACAAATACACTCCCTCCCTCTCTCTCTGTTTTGTGGCATTGCGAGCTCAGTGCCGCAGCTCTCGGTGACAAATTGATGTTGCGGCACTTTCCCTTTCTGCAGCCTTAGCATAAAAGCGGCCGAACGATGTTCCACCACGGAATTCAATTTCACAGTTGAGTTAGGTTGTTGATTACCCTGCCAAACTCAGATTAATGCGCGTTTAACCAACATGGATCAGGAGACCCTTGGCTGACAGCCAGCCAGCAGTGCTGGCCAGTGATAGGGGGGGCTCAAGACGGGGCTGTCCCAGCAGCCAGGCATCCCCCCCCCACCTCCACTTCCTCCCTCCTTCCTACACCTGCCTGAGAGTGATTGATTAAAAGAGTTCACACCATGTAATTATACACCATCCCAACACATCAGGGCTCCTCCTCCTGCCCTGTGCCGTGTGTGTGTGTGTGTGTGTGTGTGTGTGTGTGTGTGTGTGTGTGTGTGTGTGTGTGTGTGTGTGTGTGTGTGTGTGTGTGTGTGTGTGTGTGTGTGTGTGTGTGTGTGTGTGTGTGTGTGTGTGTGTGTGTGTGTGTGTGTGTGTGTGTGAAAACTGATCAGCACTGTGAGAGACACAAATAATTGCAAAGTGAAAAGGAAGAAAAACAAAATGCTGGTTAAAGATCATCATGGGAAGATGTAGCAGGGGTAATTTAATTTAATCCTTTTCTGTCAGTGTACTTTATTTTTATTTTTGTAAAGTTTGCACTGGACTACTGCTGTTAAGCCATTACACCATCTTTTTTTTCATTTTTAGATGTTTGTATGACAACACTACATTTTCTCTCACATAACACACTCCATTTATATGCACGCTTAGTCCTGTCATTCGTCTGCTAATATTAATGCGACATTAACTGAACATATATAAAAGACATTTTAAAAAAGGTTAAAAATGAATAAATATAAAACAGGATAACAACAAAATAATTCACAAATATCCTTTTACCCCTCCCCTCTCCCCAAGACGTTCCTTTCTTCCATTTCAAAAGAGGATATCGGTATTATTTAGTTATCAGTTTGCTTCTACAGTGTAGCAAAATACATCTTAGTCCTCACACTCAGTGAGGATAGAGGTCCTTCCCTACATTCATTAAACCTTGAACCTATTAACCCAATGCAAAGCATCCATCCATGCATGGTTTAACTTGACCCATCGACAGCCTGGTGTTAATTAGTACGCTTGAAGGGTTCAGAAAGGTTGTTTTGATTTATTATTCTGACAGATATGTAAAAACACCAATGTAAAAAAAAATAATGTTTTTGTATAGCATTGGTGCAACATAGCTTGGCCTTTTTGAACTTTGTGATTTTTAATGTGTTTTTCTTTTTACATATAACATGACAAAGACAAGGGAAAACCAAAGTTTAGTTTTTAACCAACGTCCTCTTTTTGATTAGCTGTGATTTTTATTCATTTTGCTCAACAGAAGATGTTTCATTTTTAACAGCTCATGGTACAAAAATGGTGTCTAAAAAATACTTCGTTCATATTTTCCTGAGTGTGTGTGTGTGTGTGTGTGTGTATGAGTGTAAACCTGGACTATTATGAGTCAGACCAGTTCTGCTGAGTCATGCAACTGAGCTTAATAGGTCTTTTAATACAGTCTCACTGTGTGTGTGTGTGTGTGTGTGTGTGTGTGTGTGTGTGTGTGTGTGTGTGTGTGTGTGTGTGTGTGTGTGTGTGTGTGTGTGTGTGTGTGTGTGTGTGTGTGTGTGTGTCTCCCTGTGCTCCTGGTTGATGAATGGAGTAGCTGTGGAGCATTGTGGGGGGGTAATGATAATATATGGTCCCTGTTCTCTGGACTAAAGTCCTCTGTTAGGTCTGTCACAGGCTAATGTACCTGCAGACATACCTGGAAGTAGAGCTGGCATTTTACTAATGACAGTTTATGTGGTCATGCATTGAAGCTGATGAGGCCAACACAGGAAAATCCTTTAGTCACACATGAACACCATGCCATGCATATCATGATCAATCAATAAAAGCATTGTTGTTTTGCTCTGTTCTCCAGGGCGACTATGAGCGTCCGTTACGTGATGGCAGCCCTCAGGTTACGGGCGGTGAAACCTACCCCAGAGGGCCTCTTAAGCAGACTCTGAGTCACCCCAAGCCGCCTGGTTACCCCCCAGCACACCTGCCCTACCCTCCTGTGTTTCACCATTACAAACCTTCACCGTACCACCATCCCCCCTCTCAGCCCAGCCCGCCGTACACCCCTCAGGTACAGTATGATCACGCATAAAATCGATGACCAGACCAACATTTGAGACATGATCCTGTATGGCTTTTTACAACTGATACAGATTCATTCTGATTTTAAATGGAATTTTATTTTAAATTTATGACAATTGCCTCACTCCGTTTCTGTATGTGTCGGTTTGAAACACAGGGGGCCTACTCACAGCCTTCATCACCCTACATACCCCCGGGGGCATACCCGCCTCCTTCCTGGGGGTCCAGCTCTGACACTCAACCTTCCAGAGTCTCCCATGAGCAGTTCAGAGCCGCACTTCAACTAGTCGTAAACCCAGGTGAGAAATGAACATCACACATTGAAACTGACATGCCAGATTAAAAAAAAATATATCCCAGGGTTGCTTTAAAAATTGCGCTGTGATTGTGCTTGCATACAGGTGACCCTCGAGAATACCTGGACAGCTTTATTAAAATTGGGGAAGGCTCCACGGGTATCGTGTGCATCGCAAGCGAGAAACACAGCGGCAAGCAGGTGGCCGTGAAGAAGATGGACCTGAGGAAACAGCAGAGGAGAGAGCTGCTCTTTAATGAGGTGTGAAGCCTGACAGAGATGGGACAAACTGCAGTACACTTAACTCAGGCATGCTCACATATACAGCAGTGAAGTTTTACATTGACTAACATCCCTGATTGTTTTTAGTTACTACAACAGCACATTTTGCGTGGATTGGCTTATGTATATTTGCATTGCAGAATGTTCTTTATTCAGAGACCAGTTGTCTGGTGTTATTATGTTACTGTAGGTCAATTTGACCCAAACAAATTCAGTCACATTAGTCATCGATTGTTCATAGCTTAAAAAGGCAGCAAAAAGGAATGAAGCTGGTTTAAATAACATAATTAAACATGACTCATTTTGTGCCACAAAGATAAAAATAAATCTCACGATCCCACAGCAGAACACAAACAGGCTTATTGATTAAAAAAAACACACAAATTAAATTGCTTCTTTTCACTGACATATATCCATATACATTGCAATTAAACCACAGCACGTTTTTACATCTGTAATTGCATTTATTTCCTAAGTAGCATTCACACTGAAAACCCGAGGCAAAACATTTATACGGAGCATTTTCTATTCTTAGTACGCTAAATATTGAAAAATGAGCTCTGTGTCATTTTCACTGCCACTGAAATGAATCACATGTGAAGACAAACTTCCTGATTGCTTGTTTGCTTAAAAAAATATTGAATTAAGTAAAGGTCGACCCCTGGATTTCTTTTATTTAGCATTATTGCATGTTCTATTTTTGGATCTGTGTGTGTGTGTGTGTGTGTGTGTGTGTGTGTGTGTGTGTGTGTGTGTGTGTGTGTGTGTGTGTGTGTGTGTGTGTGTGTGTGTGTGTGTGTGTGTGTGTGTTTGTAGGAGAGTGAGATAAGGAATGCATTGATGTGTGTCAGTGTGTGTACAGTGAACACAGATGTGAAGCAGTGGGTGTTCAGTTGGGAACTAATTTGCTTTGTGTAATCCCATTAATCCCTGAATTCAACCTTTTTATAGTTCAGCCTCCAGAACACGTTCATATACGTTGAGTTGATGAAGTAATTGAAATTCACTAACAAATGGAATGAAAAATCTACTATGTTAAATAGTAGATGTCTGATGAGAATACACTTTTTTTTACAAATATATCATTGAGAGGCTAAGGTTTTGTTAGCTCTCTATCAGTTATCATTCCAATCAAGCACCTAATATCCATAGAAACTGATACATGAGCAGTCATTCTACTCCTTATGTGTGTTTTAGGTGGTGATCATGAGGGACTACCATCATGAGAATGTCGTTGACATGTACAACAGCTACCTGGTGGGAGACGAGTTGTGGGTTGTCATGGAGTTTCTGGAGGGCGGGGCTCTCACAGACATCGTGACTCACACCAGGTAACCTCTCCTCCTGAACATAGAAAAAAAAGTGCCAAGGACTTTCTGTGTTAAAAACAAAAAAATAGCCTGAAGTCAGTGTGCAACGTGACCTTATAATAACTTTTTTTTAGAAATTGACCCGCATGAAGGTGCATGAAGAAACACAAGAGAGATGAAAGTGCTGTACATGCAAGATAACATGTTGCCAGTTAAATCAGGAAGATGATGACCAATGACTGAAGCTGTAATAAAAAGCAGTTCGGAAGATAAGACATGCAAATGCTGAAGAGAAGACCAGCACAAAAAAACAAACAAACAAACGGAGCTTGAAAAATAAAACGTAACTGATTATTATGCAGTTGTTATGAAAGATAACTGGGAGAACGACCTTTAGAGATATAGAACTAGTTACTAATTTAATAAATAGTTCTTTACATTTTGGACAATAGACGTATCTGTAATGTTGCTGAGATATGTATAGTGAGATAAATTCCACCTGTCCTTTAAATATGAAGCTGCTGCCAGGAGACTTTGATTTTTAGCCTAGAGTAAAGTCTTGAAAGAGAAGAAAAGGCTTGCCTTACTCCCAAAAACAACAAAATCAACCTACCATCAAGTTTAAAACTTAAAATCTGTGAGCTTGAGATGTATGGTTGGGTGGCTCATGTAAGCTAAGCCAAGTTAAAAGAATACCGTCTTTAACTTCATATAAGTTTGATTTTTTTATTAAAGCTTTTTTACGAAAACCATTAAGTACATTCCCCAGAATAACATACTATGGTGGTGGTGGCAGCATACTATGGTGAAGGAGCTGACAGGAGATGGGTTTAAAAAGTGTGTGGAAAAAGATGTGCTTTATAATCATGAGGTTATTACATTTTGCCTGCACATCAGAAACTTCCCAACGACACGATTTCACAAGAGGAGCAGCAGAAAGAAGCAGATGGGCTGTAATCCACTCCACTGTTTGATAGTTTGAGGATTATTGTTCTCAAACTTTTCACTAATTGCTTCTTCGTTGGCGAGTCGTGTTTTTCTGAGCTGCTGCCTCATTGTTTTAAGCTTACTTTGTGCTTGGTGTTTAATTACAGTCATTTGCGTGGAGTGTCAGCATTAGCGCTGCGCAGTGTTGGATGCTAATAACACGCTTTGGTGAGACTGAGCACCGCTGCTACCATCAAGTACTTTGAACCATCTCCCACACAGATGTTGGCCTGTTTGTGTGTTCTGTGTTTGCGTGTCTGTGTGAGACGGACAGTTTCAGTATACATGATGGAAATTTCACCAAAGAGGAAATTATAGGGCATTACATTTTCTCTTTAAAACTCATCCTTTACTCTTTTTCACAAGTTTGTTTGAATTTTAAATGAAGGTCAAATAAAAGTTTTAGATTTTAAAATCATAAGCTAGATCATTTAAACCTCTCAGTTTTATTATAGGATTCATATTTATCCATCATGATAATGTCACAAATATGGCAGCTAGTTTTTTCTCTGTATTTCAGCTGAATTTGTCCAGGTGTAACCTTTGCGCTATTTCTGTTGAGCCTTTTGTTGTGGAAATAACTGCTGCCTGCCTCACAAGCCTCATCAGGTTTGTGGGGGTTGATGGCAGTACACACACACCCACATGCACACAAGGAACTACATGAACACACACACACACACAGAGCGTCCACAGCGGTAGAGTGGGCGTCTGTGTACCTTAACTATTTCTATCACGTTCAATTTTCAATTATACTCCAGAGATTGTTAATGAGCTGCACTTCACAGGGATTTTATTCAATGTAAGTGCAAAAGCAGATGTATCTGTGCTCGCTGGCGTGTGTGTGTGTGTTTGTGTGCGTAGGTGCGTGTGTAATTCTCCTCCCCTTGGCAACCTTTTCAGGCTTATTAAAATTGTTTTTCACTTTGTGTTTGAAACAATTTTCTATTTCAGTGATCCTGTTTTCCTTTTAAAAGTGTGTTCATTAGTGTGTATTTGAGAGAGCGATGAAGGGGGGGGGACAGTAAGAGGTGAATTATCTTTTTCTTTTTTTTTGGGTACACGTCTCAATCCTGTTCACTTTGACTTAGCCGGTTGTTTTCCCATTAGCAGAAAGCTCATTTATCTCCTGTGATTGTAAATGCATACATGTGTGACAGTTAAATCTGCTGCAATTTGTATGCATATATGAGTGTGTGTGTGTGTGTGTGTGTGTGTGTGTGTGTGTGTGTGTGTGTGTGTGTGTGTGTGTGTGTGTGTGTGTGTGTGTGTGTGTGTGTGTGTGTGTGTGTGTGTGTGTGTGTGTGTGTGTGTGTGTGTGTGTGTGTGTGTGTGTGTGTGGCCCGCGGGGTGTTTCTCATAATAAAAAGGTTGTAAGTGACAATGAGATCTTCTAAACTGAGCAATAAGATGACAGGATTTGTGTGTGTGTGTGTGTGTGTGTGTGTGTGCGCGTGTGTGTGTGTGTTAGATTGAATGGCCTTCAATGTGTACTTTTTATGCATTCATAAACATGCACACATACTACATGCAAAGACCCTCTCTGTCCCTGCACATGTGCTGTATGTAAAAGGCACACACATGCTCATAAACACAGAGTGTGGCCCGGCCAGCTGGGTCGGGAAGTCAAATGTTCAGTGGAGCTGCGAGTTTAAGTTCAGTCAGTCGCACTGCATCGCCCCGGCTCTCCATATGGGACCCTCCTGCTCACTCTGCACATCACAGCTACAGTCGCTGCAGGCTACATGGGGAAATATCCTGTTCATCTTAGCTGTGTTTAACTGTAATATCTATAATGCTACAAAATGACAGCAAAGACCGAGGCCAGTCAACAGTCATTACTACTTATTCTTCAGTTTGGCTCTTTGTTGTTCATAATTATTTATTTGAAATAACTTCATTTTTTTTTTTTATTAAAACAACCTGATATAATACTCTCTTAAACTCTTTGTCTTTTCCCTTGTTTCATTAATAAGGTTGTCCTCCCTTACAGCCACCCCTCGTACATTTTCCCATAATGCACTGGAGAGAAACGTATCACGTGCATTAAACCACAAACAGTACAGTAAATATATATGTAAAATAACTAAAGGAAAGTGAGTTATGGTAGCTATAGAAATATTCACTAGCAAAGAGCACAACACAACACTGTGTGTTTTAGATGTTTAGTGATAGATCATATGAATGTTGAGACAGATGAATGTATGATGAGATTATGTTGGAAGTGGATGTTTTCAGTTGGCTGGTCTGAGTGGATAGACTGAGAGGGAGACTCCAGAAGATTCAGAATCATCATTCCATTATACTATAATTATAATTGTCAAATTGCATCCCATTGATGGTTTGGTCCTTGCTAGTGAATATTTGTCATTGTAGCTAGATGAGCTGACGTTTGAGTAAGTACTGCAACTTTACGATGGAGTTTCTCAGTAACTGTTTTTGACGAAATACATTTAATTTCATGTCAAGCATGGTCCTTAATGCACCTCTTTTTCCTTAGTCATTGCTTACACATGTGTTGTGTTGTATGTGTGTGTCATAACAGGATGAATGAGGAGCAGATAGCTACAGTGTGTCTCTCGGTGCTGAGGGCTTTGTCCTACCTGCACAACCAGGGCGTCATCCACCGTGACATCAAGAGCGACTCCATCCTGCTGACCAGTGATGGCAGGGTGAGTGCACATGATCAGTGTGTGTGTCTGTGCATATTTACAACTCACACACTCCGCGCTACAGGACGTTACTAAACCCTGAAGATATTGTTCTAAGTCATGCCCGTGGTATTAATAACCAATACTACGACCCTTGTTTCTGTAAGTGGTGATTTCAGGGTAACACACGCGCACACACACACACACACACACACACACACACACACACACACACACACACACACACACACACACACACACACACACACACACTCACTCACTGCCCTTCTCCATGGAGGCCACTCCTGCTGCTTGTCACCATCCAGTGCCAGAAACTCATCATCATCAATTACCACTTGTGCCCCAGTAATTAAATCCTGCCTAACTCCTCCTAACGAGCTGATAAGACGTGATTAATTGAAGGATAATTAACCACTAATACGGGAGATTAGTGTCTTCTATGAAAGCTCTTCATCACAATGGGTTAGTGCACTTCTCAGCATCAAACAAAGAGGCACTGAACTTATACACACTCTACTGTAAGTCCCCCCACTCCTGCATGATGAAGAGTGTTACCTGAACGCAGCATTGTGTCTGTGTGTGTGTGTGTGTGTGTGTGTGTGTGTGTGTGTGTGTGTGTGTGTGTGCAGATCAAACTTTCAGACTTCGGCTTTTGCGCCCAAGTTTCCAAAGAGGTGCCCAAGAGGAAGTCCCTCGTGGGGACGCCCTACTGGATGGCGCCGGAGGTCATTTCTAGACTACCTTACGGCACCGAGGTGAGGACGACACACATAAATGGATTGGCATTTTTGCCCTAAGGGCCTCAGAGACTTCCCAGTTTGCTCTTTGCTTAGATTTTTCATTGCTGACTTCAGCTTCAGTAAAAAGACAGATTATTCTCATTCTTGTGTTTCCAGGTGGATATCTGGTCTCTAGGCATCATGGTGATCGAGATGGTGGACGGAGAACCCCCGTACTTCAACGAACCCCCTCTGCAGGCCATGAGGAGGATACGAGACAACCTACCCCCGCGGCTAAAAGAGTCACACAAGGTGAGGAAGATTCCTAATTCATGTTTTACAGAGAGTAAGCATGGTTGAAGAAAATACCAAAGTCAAATTTGCAGGACTTCAGTAAAAGATCATTTAAGGAATAAATACATGTCTTTCTCATAAAAGGGGTTTAAGATGTTAACGTTTCATTACATAAAAATCAAATCAATTATTTTAAATCTGTAAATGCAATAAAACCTTACGACTGTAGCTCAGTTAGTAGAGTCTGTCTTCTCTTAACCATAAGGTCGGGGTCCCCAGCCCCTGCAGCAACATGTCCAATGAGTCCTCTGTACAGTTTTGCTCCCACTGCTGCGTCAGCGGCTTGTGAATGTGTATGAATGGGATTAGTTACTTCCGATAGACACTTTACAGAGCAACCTCTACCATCAGTGTGTGAATGGGTAGGTGTGACCTGCGGTGTAAAAGCACTTTGAGAAGACAGAAGACTAGAAAAGCCCTATACAAGCTCGAGTTCATAAATCAAATAGTTATATGATTTTTCTTTACGATCATTTCTACAGACACAATCTACACGCATGTAGTTTTCTTTAGTATTTAGTACACTAGCTGGAAGGTGAGACTTTAAACCAGATTACTAGTTTTTACGGTTCTAGGGCACAGATCTGAGGTAAGGGGTGATGTCACAGTGATAACATGTAGTTTCACTGTATTCCATGTTTGTTTTTGTTGTTTTATTTTTTGATATTATTGTGTTTTGATGTTGTGAAACATGTAAAAGACAAATACATTTCATGTTCACCATCACAGTTTAGCAAGTTAGAATGCTGACAATAAAATATTAGAGAGAAAAAGCTCAAGCTGATAGTCACCAGATTTCAATGTATTTGTCCATAAAAGAAAGTAGTGGAAATCATTTTTACACTGACCTTTTCATACATATAAAGTACCAGATTTATAGCCTCTCTTTACATCTTCAGGTTTCCTCGGTGCTGCGCTCCTTCCTCGACCTCATGCTGGTGAGGGAGCCGTCTCAGAGAGCCACAGCTCAGGAACTCCTCCAGCACCCCTTCCTCAAGCTGTCTGGACCTCCTTCCTGCATCGTCCCCCTCATGAGACACTATCGCCACCGCTGACCTTCCGGCCCCAGAACTGCCCTCCTCTACACTAAAAAAAAAAAACACACACATACACACACAACCAGGGTGTCAGTGCCCTCACCCAGCCAAAACACCCCACTGCTCGGTGGCAAGACACTAACACTCTCACTTGTAACCGTGACGTAGATTAGCTAGAGGAATATCTAAATAAACATTTAAAAGAACACAGGATGGAGAAAAGAAGAAAAAAAAGTCTACCATTTTGAAACTTAGAACTGGAGAAGAGGAGTGGACTCTGACAGAGGAACTATCCAGATGTCCAGTAGAAACATCCTGCTGCAGTCCTTTTTCTTCCTACACTGAGTCTTCAGCTATATGTAGACTTGTAGTAGCCAGTAGCAGGAGCGTCAGAGCCGAGGAAGGTGATGCAAACTGCTGACAAGGTGGAGGGACCCTGGAGCATTGCACTGTGTTTCAGACCAGAGCAGCAGATTGCAGAACAATCAGCACAGAGGTTTTTTTGGGTTTTTTTCAACTCAAAATGAGGTGTCGTCTGTCCACCTGAAGGGCGGGCTGCTGCACCGCTAGTCGAACGGAGATGAGCTTTCTCTCTTCTCACAAACTAACAGTGAAAATGTATTTTAGAGAAACTTGTAAGTTTTTCTGTACAGTTTTGATAATTTGCAGTATTTTATCGTGTCGTAACCATTGTGATATGAGCAGTATTAAATAGAGTTTCTGCAGAGATCTTTCCTACTGTTTATAATCCAGTTTTTGCTTAAAAATATAAGAGATATCCCAAATAAACCAACTCAACCTAACTGTTAATGAAAATACTAAATATATTTATTATCTTACATTTGTAGACAGAACTTCCATTCAATGTTGGGAAAAAAGGGTAATGTCAAAATTTTGTATGACGTTTTAAAATATTTATTTATTTATTGGAACTGAAGGTTTATTTTTTGGTAGTGTGGCCTTTTTGTTTTTGTTTAATTTGTTCTGTTTTTGTTGGGAGTTGTTTTACATTTCTTAAAGCGCATTGGCAGACAGTGATATCAGTTGTTATATCATCCAAGCAATACCCCTAACCTCTTTATGAAGCCCTGTATTTATGATACTGTAATTACACCATGCATTTAAATGTAGCACAGAATGAGTGAGCAGGTCCATCTTCTTTTATATTACAAGTCTCATCCTGTTTCTAAAGTGAAGCCCGCTTGTCGTCAAGATTTCAGCCCGCTGATAAAAAGGTCTCGTTTTCTACTCACATCTTCACTGTCGTCATCTCACTCCTTATCCCGCCTCAGTCAGACACACACACTCGCTATCACTGGAGCTGTGCTGCCATCCTCATCTGTGGTCGGACCGGGGGAACAGTGTAATCCTCCACCCTGCATTGTTTTTAACCATAATTCACTGTGATATGTAAATATGACTGTGCGTTTGTGAATGTGTGTGTGTGTGTGTGTTTGTGTGTGTGTGTATGTGTGTGTGTGCGTGTGTGTGTTTGTATGTCAAAGAGCAAAAGATGTAGAGCGTGTTTATCTCTGTACAACATCTGAAAGTGTGTGCGTGTGTTTGCGTGTGTGCTGGCTAATCCTCGACACTGTGTCAGGGCCTGAATGAGTAACACTTATCTGTGGTGTTGGCTTGTACAGTGATATTGCATGTTTGTTATCAGTGAAGCTGGTTTCAATTAAAAAACGCCCATTAAAACATTGAGATGTGTTGCATGGATTTTTCCTCCATCCCCCCCTGAAGTCGTCTTCTACTTCTTCTCCCTCACCTTCTTCTTTTCCTCTCTGTGTTTCATATCAAGCAGAGATTTTTTTTAAACAGCACACTGTCAGATCCAAGTACTTCCTTTCAGCCATCAACTGTTTTTTCTTTGTTGTTTGGGTCCCCCATATTCTCTAAATTCAACAGTTCTCATTTCCAACTTTCTCACCCTAACTTCCCCACAGATCAGAGAAGCAGAAAGACACATTTGTGGATGGGTGTTGCTGTAATGTACGAGGTTATTTCTCTTTCTTTCCTCTAAGCCATTTCCCTCTAAAGCACTATAATGGGATATTGATTTAGCTCGGACAGAGAATGGAGCTTCTTTCTCAGAGAAAGATACCTCTGCCGACGGCCCAGTAAATAAAAGCACTAGTGCCGAGGCCAGTGAGACCCCAGGGCATCAATGAAGATCAAACTCAACGCTGTGAAGTCACATTAAGGTGAATAATATCAAACATCCACAGAGTACACTCCACTGCGCTAAACACAGGAGCCTGAATTACATTAAAGATACAGTTAACCAAACAGCATTGAATTTGTAAATTCATAGTCGTCTTCAAATGACATCTGAGAAATGTTTTTTTAATTTAAGTTTTATCATTTTCAAAGCAGATATTTTGACAGCCAACAAAAAGAAAGACGTGTGTAAGTTATATAATTAATTATTTCATAGCTTAAAGTCGGGGCCATCTATCATTAAGAATTAGGTCATTTCCTTTTATTGTAACAGCCTATAAAGCTGTTTGCCATTATCTGTATCTTTGAATATGACTTTTTCCCAACAAAAACACATCTTGATATCTAGAAATATAAATACAAGAAATTCACTTTGCCGTCCCACAAAATCATATTTTGAATCAGTGGGGGCGACACAGAAAGAAGGGCTGTGACCAAATCATGTCATTTTAATAAAACATTTGAAAAAAAAAAAAAAGTGCAATCACCGTCTGTCATGTCACAGAATATGTTACAACTATTCTTCTGAATTCATAGTTACTAATCAACCTAATTTGTCACACCTGTGTGGTTTCTGTTTTCATGGGGACTTGTACTGGGGAACACTTTGTAGACCTTAAACTCTTTGGTAATTATAATGAAACATCATTTTTAGATTTGGTAAAACAGTGTCATTTTCTTATACAGATTACTTTGCCTTTTGACTTGCTAATGCATATTTAGGAGCCATGAGGAGTTAAGGAAGTGGTGACCTCTCGACCTCTTGAGACCAGGAAGTAATACTGGAGAAACTTTGCTCGGCTGAATTTGTCGCCATTAAAAGTCAGGGGATTTGTTTTGAAATGTAGAAAGAGGGTCGTTTTTATCGCATAGGTTATTCCAGCCACAACTAGAATCCAAAAAACTGGACTGAAGACGGCGTCATGTTTGAAGTACCTGAAGCTCAAGAGCAGGTGAAGTTTTTCTATAAACTGTTAGTCCGCAGTGACTCTTTATTTCTGTTCTTATCGAAGGCAGACATGCAGGCTCATTTCTTGGCACCTTCTTGGATTTCTAAATAAAGCCTTCTTCTCTGAATGTTTTGCTACTTATCAGTTTGAGTAGGAGCCATGTTTTAGGTGTTTAACACAAACATACAGTATTTCGTTATATTTTGATAGGTTGACTGGTTCTGGTTGTTCAAATACTCTTGCTGAAAACTTCCTGGATGTAAGCCAGCTCTGTTGCTCTCTGATAAATGTGCGTTGACTGTTGTTCATGTGTTGTCATAGCAACCTTTGGCGAAGGTGTGTGCAGCAGGTCAGCCAGTCGCATTGAAAACTTTATAGCTTTTATTGAGTTTTCTGATGTTAATCAATCCTCTATTTGAAGACATTTTTAATAGGCTTTGAGGTTTTCCACTGTTATTTGAGATGCTGCTGCGTCACTAAAAAGATTAAAATATTCAAATCTATACCATGATCTATACACGTAGCATGTGTTGTTGATAAGGTTCTCCTTTTAACTTTGGCAACATGTTTCTCACTCCACTGCCCTCTTTTACCGTTCACTATTGTGACAATGTGACCTTTTTATTGATAACAATATGTAGGGTTCAACCAGCTGATAATCATATCTTTCAAAATAGTTAACACTGGGTGAGCTTTAAAAGTCTTTTTGTTGCAGAAGCTGCCCCCTGTTTCAGAACATCGCATTAGGGTTGTAGCATTAGGGTTGTAACTACCCCCTAACACTATGAGCTCAACTTAAGTTGCAGGACAAATGATGAGAGATAGTTAGGTTCAGAGCACCGTTGTTATCCTTTGTATCAAACACTCTTCCATGCCCTTCATTTGCAACTAGCCTGTCAGCTGTAGCTTGTGAAAGGCCTCATTTAGAGACAATGAACGCACAAGCAGAGTGATCGCTGGTGAGCAGGCCGAAAGAAGAAGAAGAATTCAGTGCCAATGAAAACAGTGGACAGATTTTTAGAGAGACAACGACTCTACCAACTGAGCCACAGCCGCACCCTGGACTACTTTATATTACAAGCTATTCCCAACATTGTCCAACCAAATAGATCCAGTGCTTTGAAGGGCCAGAATATCAGGAACATCTTTAATTTACTACCTTTCTGACATTATTTACAAAAAGAAAAAAAAGAAAAAAGTAAAACCTTAAGTAGAATGAATCTTTGATTGTGCAGATATTAAAGTGACAGTTGAGCTAGACACAAATGTGGGTCATACAGTCTGCTCTAGAGACGTGGTTGGTGGTACAGATGTGAAAGAAGTCATATGTGCTTTGTGATATTTAAACTTAACAATCTGTCAAATAATAGGTTATAAAGAGTCTAATGGGTTCAGCTGACATTTTGTTAATAGAAGACTATTTCTTTTAGACTAATGATGTGGCGAGGCTGAGTGAAAAATTGGATTTAAGGTTTCCACTTTGATGACTGAGAATGATGTATGGCGTCCATGCTACAAAAACAAATAGGTGTAGCTGACACAAATGCTCTGTTTATTTTCGATTAGAGTTGTTCATATTGCGTTTCCGAAGGGCGAGAGTCCAACGACAAAATCAATAGCTCATTCCTGCAGCGTCTCCTTTGACAGGACCATCAGTCACCTTTTTACAGTCGCTCTGATTCATTACTTCATTGTAGTCGTGTGTTTTTTATTTCACAATATAGCTTATTAATTTCAAAGGATATGAAAACAACTTGACAGGTGTTTAAAGATGAGTTCAGCAATTTATTTCAATGAACAGAAGAATACTGCACAAAATTGCATCAGCAGAGGTTTATGCATAGACTTTGATTCTGAAAATATAACACACATACTTTCTTTAAATTGAATTACTTCTCTGTATGTTCATAAACACTCTTATATGGCATTCTGATCAATTCCTTTAGTGCAGAATTTTTGTCAGATCTTTTCATATTTCTTTTTGATATGTTCCATTCAATGGCATGACGAAAAGATTTTTATTGAAGTCAAAGCAAAAACAGCAAATCTGAATGCCACTGCACTGCACACACTACAAGACTGGTCCACTGTGAAACACTATGGCTGCATTCAAAAATAAAACGAAGGAGATTCTCAGAAAAAAAAAGACATATCAAGATCAGCAAATACAGAACCAACAGTAGGTTTTTAAAATATTTAGCAGCAGTTTCAGAGAGAGGAGAGGACGACAAACTGTTGACAGATGACAGCAGAAGCTCTGACAAATTCTTACTTTTCTTGAAAAAGAAGATCGACAAGTTGGCTTGAAAGATTATTCACTAGATCCAAGTGTTGTCATGGAAAAAATAGGTGTCATAAAAGCACAAACCTATGTCTTTGTTTTCATGAAATTTCTCTTTTTTATGGGGAAGAGGATTGTATGACCTTAAGTTTAAATTGAGCAGTCAGAAAAATCTGTTTTTTGTTGGTTAACCCTCCACTACATCCATTCTAGTCCTCAAGCTGTCCCATTAACTCCCAGTGTTTTCAGATGGCCTGCAGTAAAGGCTACACTAC